TGGGGGTATGGCAGGGGAGCTGATATCAAAGAGTACAAGAAGGAAGAAATGTTTTGAAACTGTGGTAGCAGTTGTACAACACTGCTTGATGTGATTGATCTATGGAGTGGTATGATGCCTGGAAAATGGTTTGAAAGAAAAAACATATTACAGGAGATAAAGAAGGAAATTACAGAATAATAAAAGGGTCAATCCAGCAAGAAGATATGAACAATTATAAATATATATGTACCTAACAACAATGCACCAAAATGCATGAAACACATACTAATATAAGGAGATAAACAGACAACTCCAAAATAAATGAGACTTTAACATACCACTTTCAATTACAAACAAACTCACTGCTATCATGTCAGTACTGATGCAAAGTGACCCTGTAGGACAGGGTAGAACTGCCCCTATGAGTTTCTGAAACTGACTGTTTACAGGAGTAGAAAGCCTTCTCTTTCTCCCAATTACAAACAGAATATCTAAAAATAAAATCACTAAGAACATTAAAACTATAAGCCAACTGAACCTAATGTAGATCTATAGAACACTCCACCCTGTATCAGAAACATACCCATTCCTCTTCAACATATGGATAATATTCCAGAATAGAACATGAACAAGGACAAAAAAATAAGTCAACGAGTTTTAAGTCACTGTCATAAAGTCAATTCTGACTCATAGTTACCCTGCAGGGCAGAAGAGAACTGCCTCTGTGGTTTCCAAAGCTAAATCTTTCTGCCATGGAGCGGCTGGGGGTTCTGAACTGCTGATCTTCTGCTTGACGGACCAATGCGTAATCCAGTACGCTATGAGTAAATAATAGAAACAAACAAACTAACAAAAAAGAACTATTGGGTCATAGAAGAAATCAAAAGTGAAATTTAAAAATTTCTAGAACAAAAGTGAAAATACAACACTTCAAAACCTTTGGGATGTAGCAAAAGCACTACTCAGAGGGAAATTCATAGCAATAAATGCCCAAATGAAAAAAGACAATCCAAAATCATTAACTTAAGCCCAAAACTTGAACAACAAAGTGCAAAAAGGACAAAAGCGGTCAGAAACAAGGTTGTCCCTTATGGACACCTTATCAGGAGCCACCAGTGCCTGGAGAAGGACATTGTAAGGCAGAATGGGCTGTGAAGGAGAGCCAGGCCCTTGACAAGACACAGTGGCTCAAACATAAGAACCATTGTGAGGATGGTGCAGGACTGGGCAGTGTTTATTTTGTTGTACCCAGGATCACTGTGATTCAAAACCAACACAATGACACCTAACGACAACTGTAGTTTGTTTTCTGCGTTCATTAGACATATCTAGCATCCCAGTCTGAACATTTTCTGTTAGTTTTAGTATTCTGATTTCCATAGGAGACATTTCCTGTTCTTCTCGTCTTGCTTTGCACGGATCCTTCCATTGACTGTGTGTGTTTTACTATTTAGATGTTGCTGTTGGACTGCGGGCATTTTGTTATCATTGTTTTAAACTCTTTTTGGTGGGAAATTCTTCTGATTCGATGCTCTGGTGGTGTAGTGCCCAAGCACCTGGCTGCCATCTGAAAGGCCGGGCTTACACCGTGTACTCTATGGGAGAAAGTGGTGCTAGCCCACCTGTGCAGACTCAGCCCTGGGAGCCCCCAGAATGAAGCGGCCAGCTTCATTCTGCTCCACAGGATTGTTGCAAGTCACAATTGATGGGGTAGCGGGTCTGGGATCTTCTCCTGAGAACCATTAGAGAGCACTCTTAGCCTTAGTTTTGTTTTGTTTTCCAGTACTGCTACAGTTTTTCATGCTGGGTCTCTATTCAATGCTGGGACCCAGGGAAGGGGGGCATTTAACTGGTTGCAAGCTCTAAGTGGGGTGGGGTAGGAGGTTCGACTTATCTGAGGCAAAGGCAGGTATGTGTTGCAGGCTTTCTATGTCTTTCCCTCATAGGTGTGCCTTCTGCCCTAAGTGTCATGCTGTGTGCTAGCCATCTTCCTTGATGCAAGTGTCACTATCTGTCCAAAGTATTTTACTTGCCTCTCTACCCTTACAACTCCTCCTAATTTTAGTGCTTGCCCTTCTAAGGCCTCAGTGAGATTCAACAGCTCTCTCATAGTGTCACAGGATCCTTTTGCGCCCCATCCCCTTCCCCAGTGTGTGGTTCAAGAATACCCACCACCAATCTGTGCTGCCTTTGAAAATCGGGCCACAGCTTCCTCAGATTAGCTCTGTTTCCGTGGGCCCAGCTTCATCCCGAGATGGCTGTGATGAGGCAGGAAGCACTCGAGGTTAGCAGGTTGGCTCTCCCAGGTTCGATGCTCTCCCTGAGCCTCCTTTCTTCCACTTTGGGACCCACCCCACTCCTCCACACCCCAGCTGCAGGCTTGAGCCCTGAGAGTCCAAGTTTTCATTCACTGTTCAGTGCATTCCCTATTGGGGGTGAAAATGAAACATCCTATGATCTTGCCTTTCTTGCTCTGCCTCCTAGTATTATCTTAAAAAGAAAAAAGATGCAGATAATGTTTTCTTCTAAAAAAAAAATCTCTGCAGGTTTCTACTTAAAATAAAGAAAGAGCAGCCACAAAGCAGTGGACTCATGGTGACTGTTCCTGTGAAAGTATAAGAGCACTCCGTAGGGGTTTCCATGCCTGGTTTTCCAGAGGGATATTGCCATGTCTTGCTTCCAAGGAGCTGCTGAGTAGACTCAAACCTCCAACCTGCTGGTTGGCAGCTGAGCATGTTAGTCATTTGCATGCCCCAGGGAGTCCAGTGTTCTTTTAGTTCTGGTGAAAATGCACACCCATTAAATGGTGTCTCCATGGGCACTTCAGTGACATGGGCTACACTCTTCATGTTGCAACACTATCTCCATGGTCCCTATCCATGTTTTTCCACCAGCATTGACTTAGGTTTACTATCCTCTAAACTTCTCATCTAAGCTATAATGTGTCTGTTGTCAATCTCTATCAATACTTGCTTCAAAGGAGCGCAATGTTGAAGGCGGGCATTTTAATTTTTAACTAATTAGCTAAACTGCTGTGTAGTTTAAAGATGTCCTCAGGGGATAGTTTCAGTTTAAAGTTTGAAGATTTCCTCAGGGCAGTAGGTCCAGGATTTCCTCCAGCCCCAGAGGAGCCTATAAATATGCATTCTGGAAGAATTTGGAATTCTGTTACACTTTTCCCTCAACTTTTTTTTTGCAACAGTTTCATTGGCATATAATTCACACATCATATAATTCAATAGTTCAATCACACCGAGAGAGTTGTGTAATCATGACCGCAATCAATTTTAGAAAATTTTCTTTATTCTTGTACTCATCATTAGTAGCTCCCTATTTCCCTCCAACTTCCCCTGCCGTAACCCCAAGGAACCATTAATCCAGTTACTGTCTCTATAGACTTACCTATCCTGGATTTCATATTCCCCCAACTTTTGATAGATTCATCCCGAGTCCTTGATCAGAACATTCAGTAATGGCAGCTGAGTACCATCCAGTTCTGGTCTTGGAAAGGGGCCAGTATTTATGGAAGCAGTTTAAGCCTGTAGTCCAGTTCGTGCACTGATTTCTGGGTCATCTTTCTTTGCTGCTCCCGGTGAATGATGATGAATAATTGTATCTTAGATACTAGGGTAGATGAGAATCTTTAAAAACAACATTAGGTCAATTGACTGGACAGTCGCCAGGAAAATTACACATGCCTAGGCAGATTCATCACAATTGAGTACCCATTTCTGCATCTCTAACTTCCTTCCTACTCACTTGACCCTTTCCTAGCTGAGCTGTAGCCACGAGAAGAGTCCTACTCCCCCTAAACACAACTCGCCTGTTCATAATTTGCTTGGTTTTCTCCCTGAAGTCCTACTGGCAAATCCTTCCTTTTAATACCCAGCTCAGATATCATTTTACCCATGCAGATGTGCTTTGTTCCTACTCTGTGCTCTTATATACACTTCCTGCCATCTGATGACACAGCCACCTTGCTGACCAGATGGGAATACTCGAGGGCAAAGATGTGCTTTGTGAGTAGGTGGTGAACGGATGCCTGTTTCTTTACAGAGCACCTGTGAGTCTTAGAATCCCTCCAACATGTTTGCGAACTTCGATCTTCTTTTACTTCCCAAGTCACTTGTGCCTACCAGTCCCTTGGCTCACTCATGTTCAAACCATAGAACTTCACCTTAATTCCTGAGTGTCTATAATTCCTGTCTTCCCCAAACCTCACCACCCTTAGGATGCCTGAGCCCTTCCATTGTACCCAGAGGGAAAATTCAGTTCCTCATTGGCCTCTCCTGTCTGTGAGACCACCACCTGGATAGTATTTCTCAAAGTGAGGCATTGAATTCCCTGCATTAGAACAGCTTCTGGTTTCTTGTCTGAAGTTAGGTTCTTGGGTGACATTCCCAGATCTACTGAATGAGGGTTGCTGGGTTCAGGGCTCAGGAATCTGCATTTTAATCAATCTCCCCATGTGAGTCTAGAGTACCCTAACGTTTCAGTAGTATAGCGACTGTATAGCCATTCCTGCTTAGAAAAAGCCCTCGTCCTTTCCACAAGTATTGTACTGGGAGACCTTCAGTCAGCTGGAGACATTGTGCAGAGCAGCCCCCTTCTGGGCTGGTGGTGGGGTTGTTAGGTGCCATCGACTCAGTTGGACACATAGTGACCCTATATGCACAGCAAGATGAAGCATCAGGTGAAGAAGTCCCTAACTTAAAAAAGAAAGCAGCATGTCTAGTTTTATGGTTATGCCTCAAACCAGGTTTCCACGGGAGAGGTCTTTATTCTTCCTCCACAGCACAGTTTACCCCGAAGATTGGGCTTGCTTGCTGCGTAGGTGCACTTTATTCCCTGCTTTTACTTGAAGTGGGGTGGCATTTGTGGTGTGCTCAGCAGTGCCTGGCACTTAGGGCTCCTTGCCCCTGGTAGTCCCCACCCTGCTTTCGTCCTCCTCTGCCTTTGACCCCTTTGGCTTTCCTCAGGGGTCCCTGATGGCATCTCTCTTCCCTCTCGTTCGACAGGAGGCGTCCTCTACGTGGCCACGGTGAAAAACTACCTGGGGACGGAGTCGATTATCTCCCGGGCTGAGGGTCGAACTGAGGACTGGATTCGGACAGAGACCTTGCCGTCCTGGCTTAATGGTGGGGTCAGAGGGAGGGCCGGAAGGGTGGCGGCCGGGCGGCCCCAGGCTGTGCCCGTGGGGATCTGAGGCCCCCTCCCCGCTCGCCGTCTCCCCAGCCCCAGCTTTTGTCGCTGCCGTGTCCTTGAGCCCAAACGAGTGGGGGGATGAAGATGGAGACAACGAAATCTACTTCTTCTTTACGGAGTCTTCCCGGATATTTGACTCCTACGAGCACATTAAAGTCCCGCGGGTGGCCCGCGTGTGTGCGGTGAGACCCTGATCCCAGCGGTGTGTTGGCTCCTGCTCTCGTTGTCCTTCTGTCTTTTCCTCTCTGGGCCTCTGTCTTTGTTATCTGTGCCCTGGCTTCTCTTCAGGGAGCTTGCAGAGTACCTGGAGGGGCTCTGGCCCCTCTGACCCCCGAAACTACCCTTGGGACACACTTACCCCCGGAGGTGGCCTAGTGTGAAGGTTATAGGCAGGGACTGCTCCACCACGTCCTGCCTGTGTGACTGCGGGCAGGTTCTTAGACAGCTACAGACATGCGGACCTCATCTGTCAAAGGATGGTTCTGAGGACTTCAAGAGGTAACTCGTGGAAAGCAAGCAGCACATACTCCGTAAGAACACAGTGAAGTCACTTGCCGTCTTTTGTATCACAGCCCTTTCCCCGTGATATCAACCCCCTGTATCTCCTTTCCCTCCACAGTTACTCTGTGTCCCTTTCCTTGCATTTCTGTGTGTCTGCCTCCCCGTCTGTTTGTGTCTGTCCAGAAGTCAGGGAAGAAACTGGTGCTGGCCTCCACACCCCCTCCCGGAGCAGAACGTTGGCATTCTCAAGTGAAATTCCCATGTACTTGTCACTCCAGGGGGACCTTGGGGGCCGGAAAACCCTCCAGCAGAAGTGGACGACATTTCTGAAGGCTGATCTGCTGTGTCCAGGGCCTGAGCATGGCCGGGCCTCCAGAGTCCTGCAGGACATGGCCATCCTTCGACCAGAGAATGGAGCAAGGACCCCCATCTTTTATGGCATCTTTTCCTCCCAGTGGTGAGGGGGTCGTGGTGTAAAGGAGAGGTACAGGCTGGGAGATATGGGAGACTGACACATTGTCTGTGTTGTCTCTCCAGAGAGGGAGGCGCTCCCTCCTACCGTGGCATGGCTCCTTGTACCCTTCTCGAGAGCCATCCCATTTGACGAGGGATGAGTTGTTCCACCTACCACCCCACCACCCCCGCCCCCAACTATTTGGCTCCAACCTGTGACTGTTCCAGGGAGGGAGCTGCCATCTCTGCTGTGTGTGCCTTCCTACCACAAGACATTCGGACAGCGCTGAACGGTTCCTTCAGAGAACTGAGGCATGATTGCAACAGGGGACTGCCTGTCCCGGACAACGATGTGCCCCAGCCCAGACCTGGAGAGGTGAGAGTGTCGGGCCAGCGCCTTAGTCCCAGGACTGAGATAAAGAGCTGCCTTGAGGGCGACAGCCCATCTAAGCACCTCTGATGCTCACTGGCCCCTGGGGAGCTTGCTTACCCAGCCCTGTGTTTTCCTCCAGTGCATCACCAACAACATGAAGCTCCAACAGTTTGGCTCGTCTCTCGCCCTGCCTGACCGTGTGCTCACCTTCATTCGGGACCACCCGCTCATGGATAAGCCGGTGTTACCAGTCAATAGCCATCCCCTGCTGGTCACTACAGAAACCGTCTATCTCAGACTTGTGGTCCACACAGTGACTAGCCTCTCGGGGAAAGACTATGATGTGCTCTACCTGGGGACAGGTATATTTAATAGTCATCTAGCAGGTGCTAGCCAGTGCAGACATCATCCTGCCTTGCAGGTGCAGTGGGGTCATGGTGTCCTATCCCTTTCTTGCTGCTAGAGGATGGACACGTCCACCGAGCGGTGCGGGCTGGAGCCCAGCTCAGCGTCCTCGAGGACCTGCCCTTATTCTCAGAGCCACAGCCCATTGAGAGCATGAAGTTGTACCATGTGAGTTGTAGGTTTGGTGGGTCTGCCAAGGAGACATCTGAGTGCAGAGCTCCACGCTGAGGTCTGCAAGAGCCACTGTATTCCACTTAACCTATTCCCTTTCTCTAGGAATGGCTTCTGGTTGGCTCCCCAAATGAGGTGACGTTAGTAAACATGACCAACTGTGGCCGTCTGCAGAGCTGCTCAGAGTGCATCTTGGCACAAGACCCCGTCTGTGCCTGGAGCTTCCAACTGGGGGCTTGTGTGCCCCATACTGGGGAGCATGGAGGGTGAGTATAGCTGCCCCTGACTCTTCTCCATCCTTCTCTCCATGTCTGTTTCTCATCCTTCTATTAAAGGGCCCTGTGTGCTTTTGCTGTTAAATGCACTACCACTGAGCTATATCTCCTGCCCTCCCAACGTTTAGTGTCTCTGTCACTGGTGTGTCCACCTCTCAGCCCATAATAACTCATCTATCAGTTGATCATGTGCCACAGTTTTACTTTCTTTGACCCCCTGCTGGGGCTGCTCTTGAACTCTAGCTTACCAACTCTCTCACTCACTGCCATCAAGCCCATGCTGACTCTTAGTGACCCCCTGTGGGTTTCCAAGACTGTAACTGTTTACAGGAGTAGAAAGCCCAGTCTTTCTCCCATGGAGCTGCTGGTGGTTTTGACTTACCTGTCATTCAGATCACAGCCCAACACAGAATCACTATACCACTAGTGCTCAAGTCTAGTGGGCATTTTTCAGTTTTAATCTAATAAGAACTTTCAGTTGACCATGATTCCTTTCTTGAAATACTCTTTCCTCTTGCTTTCTATCCACCACTTGTCAGTTTGTTGTACTATCATGGCTTGAGTGTTGCTGTGATGCTGGAAGTTGTGTAACTGGTATTTCAAATACCAGCAGGGTCACCCACAGTGAACAGGTTTCAGCAGAGCTTCTATACCAGTGGTTCTCAACCTGTGGGTTGTGACCCCTTTGGGGGTCGAATAACCCTTTCACAGGGGTTGCCCTGTTCATAACAGTAGCAAAGTGACAGTGATGAAGTAGCAACGAAAACAATTTTATGGTTGGGGGGGGGGTCACCAAAACTATGAAAGGGTGGTGGCATCGGGAAGGTTGAGAACCACCGTTTCAGACAAAGAACAGACTGTGAAGAAGGAATAGAAGGAAGAGGCTGTCCACTTCTGAGCAATTAGCTGCTGAATATGTTATGGACAGCATCAAAACAGTGTCAGGTACTAACGGCTTAAAGAATAGAAACAGAACATGGTCAGAGGGAGTGCCCAGAAGATGAGGCCTTTGGGTCAGAAGACACTCAAAATGTGATTGAAGAAAAGCTGTCCTCTCAAAGAAGTGTCAATGAAGATAATGACATGTATGGTGTAAAGCCTGTGGGAGGAAAGTCTTCAAATGCCGATGGCACATGACTCAAAATGAGAAGAAACAGCTGTAAAAATCTACTAATAATCAGAACTTGGAATGTATGAAGTATGGAGCTTGGAAAATTAGAAGTCTTCAAAAATGAAATGGACTGCATAAAGATCAATATCTTAGGGTATTGAGCTGAAATGGGTTGTACTGGTCATTTTGAATCAGAAAATCCTATGGCTTACTATGCTGGGAATGATATAACCAAGAGGAATGCCATGCATCCATTGTCAAAAGGACACTTCAAGATCTATCTTGAAGTACAGTGCTGCCTGTGATATGACTGTATCCATCAGCATTCAAGGAAATTTAATCCATACAACTATTATCCAACCACTAAAGCTAGTATGCAGAAATTGAAGAAGTCTTCCAATGTCTTCAGTCTGAAATTGATCAAATATACCACCAGGATGCATTGATAATTATTGGTGATTGGAATGAAAAGGCTGGAAACAAAGAGGAAGGAATAATAATTGAAAGATATGATCTTGGTGATAGAAACCAAGCTGGAGAGTTCACGATACAATTTTGAAAGATCAATGACTTGTCCACAGCAAGTACCTTTTTTCAAGAACACAAATGGTGACTATACAAATGGACTTCACCAGGTGGAATACACAGAAGTCACATTGACTACATTGTTGGGAAGTGATGACAGAGAAATTCAATACCAGCAGCTAAAATGAGGCTGGGCAATAATGGAAAACCAATGGAAATGTTTCAACAAGCTCATGATGAAGCCCTGGAAGCACTCATTCAGCTAAGCCAGAAAATTTGCTCATATTATAGAATAATATCATTAGCATCCCATGCAGGTAAATTTTGTTGAAGATCATCCAACAAGTACAATGACAGGAAGCTGCCGGAGGTTCAGGCTGGATTCAGAAGAGGACGTGGAACAGGGATATCATTGCTGATGTCAGAAGGTTTTTGACTAAAAGCAGAGGGCACCAGAAGAATATTCACTTGAATTTTATTGCCTATGAAAAGGCATTTGACTGTAGGTCCTAACCATATTAAATGGAGAAAAGTTAAACTTGTCATTGATTTCATCTTGCTTGGATGCACAAACAGTGCTCATGGAAGCATCAGTCAAAAGATCCAATGATGCATTGCACTGGGTAAATCTGCTACACAAGATTAAAGTGTTGAAAGACAAGGATGTTACTTTGAGGGCTAAGGTAGGCCTGGACCTAAGAATGTGTCTTAAGCTTGTGAAAGTTAGACACTGAATAAGGAAGACAGCAGAAGAATTGATGCATTTGAATTAGGGTGCTGGCAAAGAATATTGAAAGTACCATGGATTGCCAAAACAACAAACAAATCTGTCTTGGAAGAAGTACAGACAGAATACCCCTTGGAGTCAAGGTGGTGAGACTTTGTCCTACATACTTTGGGCGTACTGTCAGGAGAGAGCAGTCCCTGGAGAAGGGCATCGTGCTTGGTAAAGTAGAGGGGCGTGAAGGAGACGAAGGCCCTCAAAACGATGTATCGACACAGTGGCTGTAACACTGGGTTCAGACATGAGAACACCTGTGAGGATCGCGCAGGACCCGGTGGTGTTTCCTTCTGTTGTACAGAGTTGCTATGAGTCAGAGCTGACTTGATGGCACCTACCAACAACAACATATACCCATCATTCCGCTTCAACAGTTATTAACTTTTGGCCAACCTTGTGTTATCCATAGTCAGCCCCTGCTCCCCTTATAACCAAGCACATCCCTGATGTCATATTATTCTTGTATATTTCAATATGAACCTCACCAAGAATAGGACTCTTTAAAAAACAAACCCTTTTATTCGGGGAAATTTCAGAAGTGGAGAGAAGAGTATTCTGAGTCTCTTTTAAACAGAAAGCTATACGTCACTCTAGTCTGCAGAAAGTTCAGCTCCTCCATGAGTCACATGAGTGAAGATGGCTTCCTAAGATCTGCTATCTTTCTCAGCTGGCAGAACTCTCAATTTCTAACTGCCTAAAGAATCCCCATTTCTCAGCTTTTCCTACAGCTAAAAGTTGCCATGTGTCTTCGTTTCTTATTGCGGCTGTAATAAATTACCACTAGCTTGGTGGGATAGCACAAATTTATTCTATTACAGTTGTGGAAGCTGGTAGTCCTAAATCAGTTTTGCTGGGTTGAAATCAAGGTTCCAGCAGGACTTCAGGGTAGAATTTGTTTCCTTGTCTTTTCTTGCATTATTCCATCACCTCGCTTCTGTCGCCCTATTTCCTCCTTTTTTCCCCCTGATCATCTGTCTCCCTGTGAATCAATCAGGCCCACTCAGATAAGCTCTTCACCTTAATCACATCTGCAAAAATCCCTTTGCCATATAATATTCACAAGTTCTGGGGTTTAATATGTGGACAGCATGGGAGGTCGTTATTCAGCTTCCATACCATGTCATGAGTAGAAGGGTTATATCATGGGTTTGGAGTCATTTTCCTAAAAGAAGGTTACTCATGTCTACCCTCCCCTTTCTCCCTATTCCAGCTTAGAACATGGATGTCCGGGCTGGGCCTCCTTAGACTGTGAGAATGCAAGTTCCATGTAGGGTTGGTGGAGAAGAAAGCTTGGGTGACCGAGAACTGTGGAGTCGTTGCAATTAGACGTTAGTAAGGGACGGGAATTAAGACACACACCCCCCTTAGATTAGGTTGTTTATTTATTTTATTGTAGTCAATTGTTTTTGCATTCAACAGTTTATACACATTTGTTTCGTGACATTGGTTGCAGTCCCTTCAATGGAACAGCACTCTTCCCCTCCTCCCTGGCTTCCCTGTTTACATGTGTCCTTCTTGCCTGCCCCTTCCTAGCATTGCTTTTGGTTGATGGTATGGGTGAGGATACTGAGGACGCTTCTCCTGGGGGCATTGCTCACTCTATTGGCTTGTCTGTTGTTTGGCTGGAAGTCGGGTTCAAGTATACTCAGTTAACACGCATCCATCGCTCAGTTTCAATAGCCAGCTACCCCGGCCAATCTTGTTTCCATCAGTACCCTAAATCACTTTCAACTCTTTTGAAGAAATCTCAAACATCACATCTGTAATGGATTGCATTGTGTCCCCCAAAACTATGTGTTGTGATTTCTAATCTCCATGCCTGTGGTTATAATCCCGTTTGGAAATGAGTTCTCTTGTGTTATTAAGGTAGGATTAGTAGGGTGTACTTTGAGTCGATCTCTTTGAGTTTTAAAAGAGATTAAAACAAGAAAACTAAGAAACAGATGAGGGAGGAGGTTTGTCCAAGGCCCTTCCAGAGTTGACAGAGAGAGAAAACCTTTCCCTAGAGCAGCACACTGAATTCAGTCTTCTAGCCTCCTGAACTGTGAGAAAGTAAATATCTGTGTGTTAAAGCCATCCACTTGTAGTATTTCTGTGACAGCAACTAAGATAACTAAGGCAGCATCATTACGTCCCTAAATCTTTGGGGGACTATGAAAAACATAACCATATTTTCATTACCATTTCAAAAAAACTTAATTCTTTAATATCATCAAATATCCAGTCAGTGTTCTAATTTTCCCTCTTGCATTTAATCTTAAGGAAATAGTTTGTTTCAGTAGGGATCCAGACAGTGTCCATCAGTTACATATGGTTGCTGTGTGTATTGGGTAGCTTTTAATATGCATGCCTTCTCAGTGAGGTATTTTTCATGGATTACCATACTTGGAAAGTAATTTTCAAACAGAACTTGAGATTTCCTGTTTTGAACTCTAGTTAATTGAAAGGCTGTGGATCAAGTCACACCAGTTTAAAATAAAGTGAAAGTGTTTAAAATGATAACAGAGTCACCAAAAAGCTTAATTTTGTCTTCTTTCTGATATTCATCTTAAATTACAAAAGTAAGGGTTTGAGCCATCTCTTGCTCAGACGATGGGATATATAAAGTAACTCATGGATGGCTGTTGTGTAAGTTGGCAGTAGTGAATGTGTAGGTAAGCAAGAGCACTGGTGATGTAGTGGTTACCCATTGCACTGGGCTCTGATCAGCCTGGTGGACAGTTCAAATCCACCAGCACCTCTGAAGGAGAAAGATAGGCTTTCTACTGTAAACAGTTACAGTCTTGGAAACCCACAGGGGTCGCTCGGAGTCCGCATAAACTCAATGGCAGTGAGCTTGTTTTTTTTCATTGGATGGCAGGTTTGGCCAGTTTCCTACTTTGGGTTAAGAACTCTGACCCAGTCTTTGAGTTTCTCATGGGAGAACTTTTAAACACTGGACAAAAACAAATGCTTTATTGTTGCCTTTACTATTTTAATATCCATTAAAATAAACATTCCTTAGGCTAGGGCATTCAGTGTTCTTAAACTTCAGTACTTTTGTGTACTCCACCCTACACACTTCAAGTCATACAAAGGAGAAAAACATACTTACACTTTAAAGTTCCCATGGCTATCTGTGGTCTTGTCATGTTCTCCAAACTGAGCTAGGTTTGTCTACCAGTAGACTTTCATTCATCCCCAAGCTCAGCTCCTGTTGAAGGAGTTCACCCTCGAGCTATGTCTATTTTTGGTCAAGGCTTTCATGTGTTCAGACTGAACTTCTTCATTCACAAATCACCGCAGAGGCATCCGGAGGCTCCCCAACCTCTGAGAGCAGTGCCCCGGGGTTCCTGCCTGTGCTGCTCTGGCAGATGTAACCCACCCAGATTCTAGAATGAGGCTCATGCTAGATTTGAGGCCACGACAGATCAACTGCATTGAAGTTTGCCTATCTCATCTCCGTAGTCTCTACAGAGGCATTTAAGAGATTGTGGGGTGTGGCGAGTACATGCTCAGTCACCCTGAGGATGGTAGGGGACTACTGACACTGGATTTACTAAGGGTTCTCTTTACAGGCTGGTGCAGGGCATGGAGTCAGTGGATGTCTCTTCCTTGTGTCCCAAGGACCCTGGAGGTCTGTATGGTTTAGGGAACTATGGGTGGAATGGGTGAAAAGGCCCCACTTACTTTAAAACTTGGCTCCTGGGAGGCATGGCAGTGGATGGCTTGGGGCCTTACCCTCCTTGGGAATCCTCTTTTTGGCTTTCTCCTCCTGGCCTCTTCACATACTTAACGTCACCCCACATTTCTCCTCAACTCACCCCAGCCTGTACCCTCACCACCTTTTGTGTCTCTGTTGTCTCCCCACAGAACACCCAGTCGTGTTTGAAGTTCCCGTGGCAACAGCTGCACACGTGGTCTTGCCCTGCTCCCCAAGCTCAGCATGGGCATCCTGTGTGTGGCACCAGCCTGGTGGGGTGACTGCTCTCACCCCGAAACGAGACGGGCTGGAGGTGGTAGTGACCCCAGGGGCCATGGGTGCCTATGCCTGTGAATGTCAGGAGGGTGGGACAGCACGCGTTGTGGCCGCTTACAGCTTGGTCTGGGGCAGCCGGGGCGCCACTAGCCAGGCCCATACGGTGGGGGTGGGGCTTGTTGGCTTCTTGCTGGGGGTTCTTGCAGCCTCCCTGACGCTCCTCCTGATTGGTCGGCGGCAGCAGCGACGGAGGCAGAGGGAGCTCCTGGCACGAGACAAAGTGGGCTTGGACCTGGGAGCACCACAGTCCGGGACCACAAGCTACAGCCAGGACCCTCCTTCCCCGTCTCCTGAGGATGAGCGGCTGCCTCTGGCCCTGGCCAAGAGGGGCAGTGGCTTCGGGGGCTTTCCCCCACCCTTCCTGCTGGATCCTTGCCCAAGCCCAGCCCACATCCGGCTCACGGGGGCTCCGCTAGCGACCTGCGACGAGACATCCATCTAGAGCTGAACAGGTGACTGCTAGCCCACGGTGATCACGGCAGTGGAACTGTGGGAGTCACGTGCCTGGAAGACCATCAGGGCCTTTGAGGGGTTTATTTGGGGGGCTGAGTGATCGCTTGGACTTTAGTATGTGCCCTTGCTGGGCCTGGAAGGGCTACTGTCACATCCAGCAGAGCCCATGATTCCTCTGGGATCTCAGAGCTGCTGCCCTGCTGGCCGTCGGGACTCCACCCCCCTGCTCGCTGCGCTGTCTGTGGCCTCTGCAACCCCGGCCCCTTACGTTTTGGCAAAGGCCGGTACGGCAACGGTGGCTTCGGTTTCTGGTTGGGCCCTCACCAGAAGGTGAAGCCACGGATGTGGCTGGCCCTGTCGTGCACTGATTTATTCTGTGGTTTTGCCACTTCTCCCAGGTTATCTGACTCTGTGGGGAGTGCATGGTCCCCAAGTCGCAATGTGGAATCTACCCTGAGGTCCTCCCGTGGAAGAGCATATGTAAATACCTGGGTGTTCACAGGGGGCCTGGTCATGGGTGCATGAATGACTGGGTCTGTGCTTCGGTGTCTTTATGGGGGGCCATATGGGAGAAGGGCAGAGTGGGGGCATTGCCAGCAGAACTTTCCACCCTGTGATCCTGTAGTCAGCAAGGGAATGGCTTTCCCTTTTCAAAAGAAACAAGCCACTGCCCCTCCCCAGATGACCCCCACAGCCTTTCTCCAAATTTCGTAGAGAAAACTTTTGAAGTGCCCTTCTGGATCGTAAGGGCAGTGGTACCCACGACCCCTCTTTCTCTTTGGTTTTTGCCTCCTGGCTGCCACCACTGCCATGCCACACTGCTTTCCCTCTGACTAATGTTGGGCTGAACCCTCTGCCTTGGCTCCCATTAAAAACACACTTCACATCATTCTAAATTGAAATGGAGGCAAAAGGGAAACAGTTGCAAGAGCCTTGGGCAGCACTGGGGTGGGTTTATAGCAGTGACTTTACTCAGGGTAACACCCTTGCCCTCAAGCAGGGATTCTCCATGTGGGGTCCACAGACTCCCTGAAATTATATGCAAAGCATTTGTACTTATATGTCTGTATTTTTCTTTTGGGGGGGCAGGGTGGTGGTGGTGGAGGTTTTAGGGCTCTCATCAGATCCCCCAGGCTCTAGCAAAGACAAAGGACCCCTAGCCCCTGGGGTCACTGTGCTTTGGCCAAATTGAGATGAAACCACTCTGGCAGCTTTTCCAGGCCCCGCTGCCCCTGTCCTGTGGCTGGCACTTGGACTTAGAGCCACCAAACAACTTCTTCTTCCGGCCCAACCTGTGAGCTGGGCTCTATGCATATTTGAAGATACTGTCCCTGGGTGGCACAAGCAGTTAAGCACTTGTCTAATAGCTGAAAGGTAGATGGTTCGAACCCACCCAGAGGTGCCTTGGCAAACAGGCCTGGAGTTCTGTTTCTGGGAGGTCGCGTCTGTGAAAGCCTTATGGAGCAGTTCTACTCTGTGCACATAGGGTCACCTGGAGTCCCACTAAACTCATCGGCGCCAAGCAACAACAGCACCTCTCACCACACGGACACACCTCTTCTTGCTTCACGACTCCTACATGCTCCAAGCTTCTGCTCGGTTTCCGGCTTGGTCTGCAAACGTGCCTCGTCCATCCCTGGTGAGAGACCTTACTGGGCTCCAATGGAAAAACCAGCCCTTCCCAGTGGAAGTTTCAGCTCCACATGTCCTTACAGCAGCCTGTGAACTACTCAAAAGAGTCCCCTTGGGTTTGGAATGCTCAGTGGTTTTGCTATTAGTAAGCGTGTGACCTTTGGCAGGTAATCTAACTAAAGGACATCAGTTTACTTCTCTGTAACATGGGGATAATAATACCTACCTCAGGGTTGCTACAAGGATTATATGAGAACGTATGTAAACAATAAATCACTATACCAACAGAGATTGTTATCGTAAAAACTGGCCTATGATGCTGTATTCATCTAGCTTACTGTAAGGCATGCAATGACTTCACACCCTATTCTGTGGAAGGAGGGTATTACCATACACAGACATCCAGTCTTAGAGCTCTCTCTGGGCCTATCTTAGCTGCCAATATCTAGGTTTGGGGAGGCCGCACATGTATTATTTATACTCCTCAGTTGTGTTGACCTTAGTGACCTGCTGGTAGTGATATCTGGGAACAGACGAAGACCTTTGTGCTTTCGATTATCCTCACGCCACCCTACTATTGGAGATTTAGGGGTTAGCTCCCCATTAGAGGAGAAAAGGAGATGAGGGAGACATCAGAGGGGGATGGGACCTCTGGGGAGGGAGGAGAAGAGCTCTTCAAATGAGGTGGAGAGGAGTATACCACAGTGGACTGGGAACCTTTGGTCCATAAATAGTGGCTCTGGTTGGAGGAGAGGAGACCAGAAATGTAGAAAAAAATAGGAAGAATGGAAAGAAGAGAGCCATATCTTAATGGTTGGAATTTCAAGCCCCAAGAGGAAGAGATAGGATGGGGCCTTGAAACCAACTCCCAAAGAAACAGCGCGGACAACTGATGTATTATCTTGGGGCAGTGGTGGCATAGGAAGGGAGAGGAGCCATGACAAGCTGGCTGGAGAAGGGTGCAGGGTTGGGAACACCAGGGTCCTTCCTCCTCACGCTCCGTCACTCCCCGCCCCACCCCCAACTGCAAGGAATTGTGGTATGTGTGAATGTGGTCACACAGCTCCTACTTGCTTGCAGTACATTATGTCAGTCATAAGGGGTGTGAGTGTATGTCGTGTTTGTATTTACTTCCAGACTCCAAGGAGTGTGCTGTCCTCTGGCCTTCACACACATTTCTCTTGGCTTCTGGTTTTAGTTGCTGGATCCTCACTGTGGTGCTCAGCTTTTGGGTTGTCAGCCCTCACCTGTGGACTACTCCCAGTGCTACTACTGCAGGAGTAGAGCTAGAAATAAACACCCAAGAGCCAGGGACCAGAGCTGTCCCAAGGGACAATTTGTGTGGCAAACAGGTGGTAGGTGCGGTTCCAGAGCAGTCCCTTTGGGTTGCTGTACAACATTAAGTTCTGGCCAAGGGGTGGGAACAAGTGACACAGAATCATCCTTTTCCCTGGAGGTTTGGGGAGGCAGAGGTAGTTGGAAGGGCTAAGGTCAAGGGGTCAAGTTCAGAGAGTTCTTCTAAGCCCTGTGAAGACATGAGTTAAACCACAAACTTTTCCCCATTGGTTTCCAGCTCTTACCATACTGGGCCTGGGATTTGGGGCTACAGATGAGCCCTAACAGCCTCAGTTGGAGACAGTGCTCTTTATGTATGCTTAAACTGGTACCTGTCTCATGGGTTAAGGTTCTTGGCAGTGCTAAACCACCTGGTTTTAAAAAAATCATTTTATTAGGGGCTCATACAACTGTTATCACAATCCATACACACATCAATTCTGTAAAAATTTGTGCATTCATTGCCCTCATCATTTTCAAAACATTTGCTCTCCACCTAAGCCCCGGCATCAGCTCCTCATTTTTCCCCCTCCCTCCCTGCTCCCCCTTCCCTCAGGAACCTTTTATAATTTATAAATTATTATTTTGTCATATCTTGCACTGCCCGACGTCTCCTTTCTCACACTTTTCTGTTGTCCATCCCCCAGGGAGGAGGTTATATGTAGATCCTTGCAATCAGTTCCCCCTTTCCAACTCACTCTCCCTCCACCCTCCCAATATCACCACTCTCCCCACTGATCCTGAAGGGATCTTCCGCCTGGGATTCCCTGTTTCCAATTCCTATCTGTACCAGTGTACATCCTATGGTCTAGCCAGACTTATAAGGTAGAATTGGAATCATGATAGTGGGGTGAGGAAGCATTTAGGAACTAGAGGAAAGTTGTATGGTTCATCGTTGCTACATCGCACCTTGACTGGCTCATCTCCTCCCTGAGACCCTTCCACCTGTTTTGTTTTTTTTTTAAATATAAAAAAGCCATTACTGGTGTCATGAATTGAGTTGTGTTCCCCCCACAGTCTGTGTCGCAGTCCAGTGGGTTGGCAGTCCTGTAAAGAGGTAAGTGGTTCCCGTGAGGTGGTCTGATGTGATTGAGCAGCCAGTTGCAAGGGATTGGGGTAGAATGCAGGACTCTACTCAGGTGATGGCCTTGATCCGATGTGAGGGGAGTTTCTCCGAGGTGGGGCCTGCATCGCTTTTTAGCTTACAAAAGATAAAAGGAGAGAGAGGCAAACAGAAAAAGAGGGAAAGAGGGGCCTGCATACTACCCAGAAACAAAGGACCAGGAGCTAAGCATGTCCTTTAGATCCAGGGTCCCTGCACGGAGAACCTCCCAGACCCAGAGGAATATTGATGCCCAAATACATGGCCACTCCAAGGACACGGGCCCACAGGTGGCACAAGAAGACACACGAGGCTCGAAGAGCCGACAGAGAAAGCCTGCCCCTGTGGCAGTGTTCTGAATTTCAACTTCTAACCTCCTGATATGAGAGAATACATCTTTTGTTTGTTAAAGCCACCCCCTGTGGTCTTTCTGTTATAGCACATTACATCACTCAGACAGACAGTTTGTAAAATCTGAGCAAAGCCCCCTGCTGAAGGTTGGTTGTGGACTCAACATATGGACTCACCAGGCCTGTGGGCAGGCTGGGCATCGCAGGACGGCTGTCTAACTGGCTGCTTCTTGGTCTTGTGTTGTTGGAGGCCCTCCCCTTTGCCTACTGATAGGGTTGTTTTTGTTAGATACCATGGAGTCTGCTCTAACTAACAGCTGACCCTTTGGACCACAGAATGAAACACTGCCCTATCCCACACCATTCTCGTAATTGTTAGATTTGAGCCCATTGTTGTAAACACTGTGTCAATTCATCTCATTAAACCTAACCATGACACAAAGCCTAACCTTTACTGTAGCCCGATTCCTACACTTTATTTAAATCATTTTATTAGGGGCTCATACAGCTCTTTTCACAATCCATACATACATCAACTGTGCAAAGCACATCTGTACATTCATTGCCCTCATCATTCTCA